CATCCTTATGAGAACAAAATCATATATATATTTCATTTTCTTGACTCTATGTGTAGAGGGTGCACAGCAAAAGACTCAATTTGCTCACAGAGCTCTGAGAGCTCTGAGAGGTCCATACCAGGTTTGCTGATGTAAAAAGGGTAACAGTAACAATAAAAGAATACCAATCAATAACTGAAATGATGGTGAAATATGAAAATAAAAGAAAATAAGCGATATCTCAATGAATTTACGGAATTATGAGCCGAAATTGGAAATGTAGCCGGAGATAACTCTCACACAGCCAATAAACATTTTTACCAATTTATTAGACGCCATGGGAACGAGTGAGGCTGGAATTCTGGGTTGCCGCTTGAGGTTCCCACGCCCGCACATACTCGTGACCTGCCATGCCTAACTTGCCCAACATGGAACTCCATCAAATCTCCACCGATTGGGACGTTCTTGGTATCATCAGAATCGTACGAATTAGGACTATTTTTAGATACCAAATTTGTACCAAGTTGTCGCGTGAATGAAAGTCGTTTCCTGATCATAGAATCAGGTATCCGAGCCGAGTCTGTGCATGGGCGATTATCCCACCTACAGCACGGCAATTTGTGCAGTGTTGGAGAGTGTGGTAAATGTGGTAGGCGATAAAAGCACCACTGTCTGAAATGACGGTGAGGAGGTGTCACTCGTTCCAAGAACCTCTGAAGTAGGGACAACACGTTCAAGGATTTCATGCTGTTCCCCATGACAGATCATCCTCAGTAGATGGGGATTCGAGTCCAGAGCGACTTTGTACTGCCAGTGAATGGAAGATTGGGAATGAAAATTGGAATAATAGATGCATTCCGAAGTGCTAGCATGAGGGCATGGCGCTTAGTGCAGAGACTGAGGGTTTTCGGTAATTTCCGTGGGACTTCACGACTTCACCTTTCTCCACATTGTAGGTTTGACCCCTTGCCCACACATGCTCATTGTCTCTCAAACCACACTCTCCTCTCTCTCACTGCCTAGATATCTTGTTCCAGCAATTTTTTCTAAGGTGAGTACTTATAGTTTGGTTGGAATGCACACGCTGGCATGTAACAGTGCTGATGGCAATCATCATGAAGGTTCCACATATTGACACGTTTCCATGCATCTTTATGTGTTATTCACTCATCAAGCTCTGGGTAATAACGTTTCTTCTCAGAGAACCAACTTGTCACCAACAACTTCCTGATTGGTACCTCTGCACTGCCCACTTCCCAGCTCAAACGACATGGTTGTTAGATACAGCGGATTCGGACAACTCCGGAGTGGAATCGGAGACTTAGCGTGGAAGGACCTTGGCCTCAGCGACTCAGGTGGAGCACTGTGCCATTGCTGGTTGTCCTGGGGGTCCCTAGTTTCAGATCTAGCAGAGGGAAAGTCTCTTGGGGGGAAATCAAGTCGATTTCAGACTGAGGTTACAAGTTACTATGTACATTGTATATAAGGAGGGGTCCGGAATCAAAAGGAGCAAGGGTACTCCGAAAGCAGACAAAGGGAGCTGGAATGAGGAACAACACCGAGGGTCAAGGGTTTGACTCAATGGTGTTTCCCAAAGGAGGAGTGAAGGGCCAAGGCCCAAGGAGGAAGGAAGGAGGATGGGAGTGGGGAATGGCCAGCTGACTGAATAGAAATGAAGCAGCAGCCCAAATAGGAATGAGGGAGTATAGCGGAATTGAATGGGACAATGCAATTGTTGCAAGGTCCGAAGTAAGTCCAGAAAGTCCAAACTCGGAAGTTAAACTCCGGAATATTGGCAAACATAATTAAATGGAATGAGCTAACCAATACAATGGGTATAAGCGGAGGTGGGGTCAAAGTCTGAGGTCGGAGCTAAGACTGGAGGTTCCAGAGACAGAGACACAAATGGGATTCTGGAGTGGAGGTCCAGAGTCGGGAGCATAGGTGTTGCATGCTTGTCTGGGAGGTGTCGAGGTTGAGGTCGGACCCGGAATGTTCCAGAGTCGGACCGAAGGTGGTGTCAGAGCCAGAGGTGGGATAACCTCTTGGAAGTCAGCAAGGAGAAGGTGACGGAAGGGAAGTAGGGCTCTGGAGTCAGTTTCGGAGTTCCTGGAGCCCGGAGTGGAGGTCAGGATTGTATGGATATGACAATGGTGAAGTATAACCCTCAGGAAGTGTTGGTTTGTACTTGTCCTCATAGTAAGAGGTTGAATTGACTTCATCCAATCCTACCTGATGCACTGAGAAATGTAGAAGTTTATCCATGTGGCAATGCATACATTAATACCAAACACCTTGGAGCTCAGTCTCTGTTGCAACACGATATGAGTTAATGGTGAAGGTACGCCATATCTTATTGCTCTCTAATTCTATATACCATTCTCTCTCAATTTTCCCTATTCCAGCTTCCATCGTGGCATCGCCCAAACCCCGCATGCATCTGCTAAGTTATTTGGCCCAAAAGTACGCTCACCATTTACTTCTTTCTTCCATCATTGCTTTGCTACCTCACTTCTATTCCAGGGACAAATCAAAAGGGTCTGGAGCAAGTAGAATTACGGTTATCCTCGCTGTAAACTACCACAATGATAGATGTAGATGATGATAAATGACCATATTTTTTACCAACTGCAATCATCGTAAATTACCAAGCCCGTGGTGTAAAATACAAAATACAACGGTTGTAAAGTGACCGTTTACCACCGTTAAACTAGTCAAAAATGACCAAAAAACAGGTAATCTACTCTCATAATCATTGTAATGGAACCTTGGTAAAATATCACATACTTGATTGTAGAACACTACTCCACTCGTCGTAAACATGAGTGTATTTCACCATCTTTAAAGTGGTCCTTTACACAACTCTAATTCCCACTGTGTGTAGTCAAGCACTAGACAATAATGGACATTAAGCAAACAGTCTAACACAACCAAGAAATAAGACCTCACCTCAGTTCACGATAGTGTAACTGAGGAGAGAGAAAAACTGTCGCGACGAGTGGCTTTTAAGCCTACAACACTGCCTATCAACAAGAAAGATGGATTGGGAATAATGGGCAATCTTTGGCGGCTGGTAAGTCCGTGCGCCACTACTGACACCGACTTCCTCTAATAGGATCTACTTCAGTACATAGAAAAATCTCAATTCCTGCTGATAAATCTAACAAGACAACAATATGGAAGTCCCATGAACCTTTTGAACCTCTTTTTTAAAGGGACTAGTTTAACTGCCTTTGGCTGGTTGCGAACATAGTGACTAATTGTAGACTTCCTGCACAATCGAGCTTCAGGAGCCACTGCCACTCATTGTGGAATCCAACCAATGAAATTTTGGTTAATACCATTACAGTACAGTGAATGGCACTGAAGCCCAGTTCAAATCAAATCAAACTATTTCAGTACAGTGTTTCACAGTGAAGTACTGGCGGGTGGAAGGCAATCCAACCCAAAATGGGTGAAGTCATCCATTCAGGCCTTATCATTTTCCTCAGGGCTCTCTGGAGGAGTCAGCAGTCATGGTAAGGAAGGAGAGGGTGAAGGAATCTTGTTAGTCTGAGAATGGAGTTCATTCACATCAGCGTATTGTACAGTGGACAGTAGTACCTACCGGGAGATTGTCATTAAGCTGAAAGTTTCCAGTGTGCAATGTAATTCAAATCAGGGCGTTGTGTTCTGAAATTTCCGTTGCCATATTCCAAGTGCTTGGACGCTAAGGGAGACACATTGTCAATGTGAGGAATGAATTGAAAGGGACTGGATGGACCAACAAACAGACGTGCAAGTGGGGTCTGCCATTCGGTTCATGCTCAACGAAGGTAATCCATCCTTCGTTCCTGTCCAAGTTCTACATTATGTCATTGACGATGTGTGGTGACTTTAAGAGGGGTGAGGGCTCACTGATGTGAATAGCATTCCACGACATTGTTGCAGCATCCAATTCTCGCTCATAGTGTGTTTTACTAAGGTAGTTAAGGGGGAAGAGAAGTGGAGGACGTACAGCGGTTCTTTGAATTTTCCACAGCATATATATGCATACTATGGTGTCAGGTTATGGACGCTGGTGGCGATAATCACGCATGCGTTCACATCATCGACCACGGAACCCAGAGGGGAACGAAGTGAGGATCGGATCGACAGCCATATGCAATGTTCCAATGGACATCCCTGTGTCAGTTGTTGATCTGTAGCCATGCTTTTGACCGTCGTTCACAGTGGGGGACAGTGCACACCTGTCGGGAGTTTCCTCAGAACAGGATTTTGGCGTGTGATTTCAGGTGAAGCGTATGATCATGTTCTGAGCGCATGATATGAAGCCTAGAGGTATATGAAATTTTCCCAACTGATGTGGCCGTTATGGTTGTCAGATGCATTCAGATGAATGTCGCCATTGTCACTCTGGAGAGGAAGTAGGAGAGGACTCCTGGATGGATGTGCATTGTTGTTCATTGTGGAGGACAGTGTTCATCGCACGGGAAATCTGTAAACTTCCACCTGAATTGGATGCTGCTGAGGGCAGGTGGAGTTGAATATGTTTCGGATCGGATCTTACAGTTAACGTACCTCATTTTCAACAGCGGCCGAATGCCCCATGCAGTTGGCATCATGACTGGACTCACAGTTACAAACCTATTCACACTGATTCTGTATCAAAGACATCTGTAATGTTCACATGGCATGGCAGGATTTCCATATGGGTGTTGGGATCTCCCTGCTCTCATCTTCATCGTGTGACTGATTGGTAGTTGCGGATTGCAGGATAGTGTAGGAGCGCATGATTCAAACAGAGTTCTGTATGATTGGGAGTAGATCTTACCAGCAACTTGACAGGGATTTTTTGGGGGGCTCCCGCATTTGATATTCATTTTCATTTCTGAATGATGGGATTTTCCATCCCAATGGCTTCCATCAGTGGTCGTCGTTTGGGAGAGATGGGCAGTGGGAACGACTTTTGGCATTGCGCGACATCAGCATTCTGTGAAGTATATACACCTGAAGCGGATTTGCAACTAAAAGTACAGACATCAATTGTTTTTGGGAGGGCCCGCTTTTCCTTTTCCTTTCCACTTTCCATTTTCTGTCTTCTCTGCTATTTCCATCGAAGTGGTTGGTCCGCGTTCTTGACTGGGACTGGCCTCGGGAGAAGTAAATTCGGTGGTGGTTGATTGGGAGGGATGTGTAGTGTGATCATTATCCGCCATGGCAGTGGACTGAGTGGGTTTCATGGAACCAAACAGACGTTTGCATTTGTTGGGCGAGGATGATGAGCCTGTATCCCCAGTTCCATCCATGGTAGATACTGGTCCCACATATGAGATGTTTTCGATGACCCAATGTGTACGATTCACGGAGTCGGATTTCCATTTAGCTTGCACATCAATATTGGAACCCGGTCGTGGAATTCTGAATTTATCGAAGCGATGGTTAGAGTCGTCAAAGTGCAAATGCACTTCAAATCGAAGTAGAGTTTTGTCCTTTTTTTAAAAAAAGTTCAATGATTTTGCCATTGACCCTCTTCGGAGTGTACAAACCTTGGCACTATAAGCCCCAACGTTGAGACCAAATTCTCGACCACTGGTTCCGGTTGCAGTTGTGACTTGACCTACGAAATGGGCTGTTGCTAGACGACCATTGGAAGGTTGCATGTCATCTGCCAGTATTCCGAGGCTTTCTACGGTAGTCGCTTCCACCATCATCACCAGACCGTCAATAACCTCGGGACCATCGTTGATTATGAGTAAAGCACCAGAGATGTAAACTACTGTATCTTCTTGTGCATTTTCTTTCATAGCGGATTGAGAATACACAGACATAGTGATCTCGTGGACATTTTGGTCTCCAGTTGGTCTGTCGCCCGCCAAACACAGTGTGAAAGTCGAGCGGGGCCCTTCCGTATTGGCGCTGGAACAGACTGGGAATAAACCACAGATGTAACTGGAAGCCATAGATACAAACAGCCTTGCGCAGATCCGGGGGGGCAATGACAGAGTCAGATAGAAATCAGAGCTTTTTTACTGGTGCCAATCTTACGCGGTGATGAGGTCATCTTAGGTTGAGATAATGGGGATTCTGTAAGACAATGAATGGCACGCATGTGAAAAGCAGCGTATAGTTCACACTCAAGTTGGCAATGCTCAGTCCGCTGATCAATTGCGTTCCGTCCCTTTTTGGTGCATTGATATTTATCCTAACAACCTTTTATGTACAACATTGGCGACATCAGGTTTTTCATGGGGTAGAAAGAGTAATGCATGAGAACGATGTCGAATGCATGTCAATGCGGTGTATAATTGACCATGAGCAAACACATCTTCTCTACAATCCAGTACCATCCGGTCCAGAGTAAGGCCTTGACAACTATTGAAAGTGGTGGAATACGCTAATCTTAATGGAAATTGTTTATGGCGGATGGTGTATTGGGCGTATGGAGGTTGGAAATCGAAATTGATGTGGGGAATGAGATGAGAGACGTCCGGGCGGTTGCCTCGATTTAAGATTCGAATTTCAATCCATCGAGATCGGCAGTTAACTATTACCACATGTTGATTCTTAACCAAACCTTTGGGTACGGAAAGATTTCTGAGCAGAGCACAAATCGCCCCGGGTTTGAGGTGCAATTCATGATTGGGAGCTTCAGTAGATTTCACCAGGGCTAAATAGTCTGGAGAGGTGACAACATGAGTGTCATTCAGAGTGCCGTCGTCATCTACAATGGCATTGTAACTGAAATGGATTGCTATTTCAGATGTCAGTCTTACGGATGAAAGACGTGTGAGGTGGGGGACACACAGGCTGGACCTCGTAAACAATGCAGGATTGATTCATTGAAGTCATCGACTAACACATTGAGAGGAGTGAGGAACACCCGACGAACTGCTGTGAGCGGATCTGAAAGAACATGGTCGGGGAAAAGGAACTCTTGAACCACATTCAGTTGTTCAGTGCAGGGAAAGAAAGAGTCCAGATTGATATGTGATCGGGAATGATCCTCCCCAATGGCATCTACAAATGTACAGAGCTGGAGATCTTGCGCGTTCCACATTGGTTGTAACAGTTCAAGGCTAGTGAATTTCTGCCACTGAGGCCAAGAGAGCACTGAGTTCTGATACGTCTCTAATTCCGAAGCATGTTTTACTACTGGGGCTACTTGTCGAAAGTCCCCAATTGCAATCACCACTTTTCCTCCAAAAGGTTGTGGAACCCCACTGATAAGTTGACATGCGGCATTGATGGCTTCTAACACAGCCACATTTAGTAATGCGACTTCGTCTATGATCAGGAAAGGAGCAATGTTGATTAGATCGGCACTTGTGCGTGGGCGAAGGCGTAACGGATAGCGTGGCGACGGCCCCGACAGGAAGTTGAAGCCTCTTGATTTGAAGCGAGCCGGTAGATACAAAAAACCCCCCCAAAAAAGGAGGCGATGGGGCAGGTGGAGGGTAACGATGAAGACAAGTGAGAGTAGCAGCAGAGAAGCGCCAACAAAAGAGAAGAAGTGAAGTTACAAAAACAAGGCATGAGCCGAAAAGAGAAAGACACCGTAAACATCCGGGATCCAACTCGCAAAGGGTAACCAAGGCTAACTGCTGTCATATCCATCCCCAGCCATCGACTTCCGGTCCCTCTGATCCCTCCGTTCCAACTCCGCTCCTCCCTCACTAACCTTGGAGCCCCCGTTATTCCGCAATCCTCTCGGTACCCCTCGATGGTCACCACCCCCTCATTTCAATTTATTACCTACGCCTCCCTAAGTACGGAGCCCCGAAGACTTCCGGACAGCTCCGACGTCCGCTAGCGCACCCCCACCTCCGCTGGGCAATACAATCGCCTGCCCTGCAGAGCCCACCTTTGGGCTTATCCCTCCTTTCCGTTTCTGGGTTATCGCCTGCCTTTCCGCTAACCCCGCAAACCGACTCGTTGGTAATATTCAGTCGGCTAATGGTTAAACCCCGTTAGCTCCACTCCGTTCGGCTCCACCAATTGCGGAACCGTCTCCGCTGTAACCATATATATATCCCACTTGTACATAGGTTACGCCCCAGTAGAAAAATCAACTAGAGTTACCCCCCTAGGTTCTAATTGCCAGTCAGTAAGTTAGGGCACGGACGTGTCACTAGGCACAGCGCTCTTGGCAGAACTCGCTGAGGCCGAAGCCCTCCGCTACGGAGACATTCCTTCGTCTCGAATCTGGTCTCTGACAACTGCCTTATCCAATGCAAGACCGAATATTCAATGCCAACCAACCACCCTAACCAAAACTAATAAGAGAATTAGTTAGAAATATACGTCAGAGTTGTAGAAAAAGAAATAAACTCCAGCGTGCGCGGACGCAAGAGAGATAAAAGATTGTAGAGCAACAGCGTGCAGCGGACGCGAGAGGTGGACATGAGAGGTGGTGGCTGAGAAGCCAAAGCGTACCGCAGACGCAGAAGAGAAGGCATGGAGGCCAAAGTGCTCAGCAGGCGCGCATAAAAGAAAGAAGGCACGGAGGCCGAAGCGTACAGCGGACGCGTGTAAAGAGAAAGAAAATAAACCTACATACCGATCAAGCAGCAGAAATCAGAAATAAGGACACAATTTCATACCAGACAACTAAGAAAAACTGAACATCATGGATGAACAGTCTAAAGACATAAAGCAATGAATATTGCGTACAGACGAGGACTTGACCTAGCAAAGGGCACAGCGGATACCCAGAAGAAAACTGAGGCGCTGAGGCTGGCGCACACAAGTCATATTTAATCTCGTGCCTCCATTAAATTTAAACTTGTGCGTGGGCGAAGGCGTAACAGATAGCGTGGCAACGGTGTCACAGGGATTTGCCGGTGTACCATAAACGAGCCAAATCCCGCGATTCTACTACCCTCAGCAAGCACCTCACATCCATCACATGTAGCCCATATCCACTCACACTCCTTACACATATTTCCTATTTTTCCTAATTTTTCTGATTTCATTTCCGGTGTCTAGAGCCCGATGTTTCCGTTTTCTTATTGTCATGTGATACTCTTTCCTTATTTATCTATCGGACTCTTCCGGGACCCGCTGTACAGTTAGGTAGAGAGTTATCAGCACCAGACCCGACTGGACCAATATACCCATTCAGACCTGACCCTCAGTGAGATTCCTATCCCCCCTCCTTCCTGTCTCGAGTCTAGTTGGATAGACCCGTTACAACGGCCCTGACAGGAAGTCGAAGCCTCTTGATTTGAAGCGAGCCGGTAACATGGTAGAAGAAGAAGGAGGAGGGGAGGGATGGTGGTGAAAAATAAAAAGAGGGAGCTAGGAATCAAAAATCGAAGACCCCATGGGGGATCGGGCACAAAGAATCACAGGGTTCTTACGAATATAAATTCGCCAAGCATCAGAAGACCAACGACCTAAAGCTTGAATTCTTGAATCTGAAAAGCCAAGAGCGGCAAGGTGGGTGGCCCCTCCAGAGCGAAAGGAATGACTGGCAAATTCTTTCGGAAGACAAGTACGCAATCTTTGCAAAAACCAAGAACAGGAGGGTAAGGATCCATCACCTCAGACCCAAAGCTGGGGAAAGAAGGAGAAGGCATCATCTCGCAGTTGAAGGTAACGTTCGAAAATCAGAACAGGATTAAGTGGACCAGATCTGGACTGAATCAAAATAGGACTACCATGAAACCAGCGATCCGCTTTATGAGTGGGTAAAAGGAATTGGAAGCAACATAAGGAGTCGCGCTCAACTATGTCGACTGACCGACGAAGAACCAGCTTCCTGAACACCAGTTTTGAGGGGTCATCCGGCACAACCAATTCGCCTAATCGCAGCAAACCGTGAAAGGCTGTAAAAGCAATGGCGAGGAAAAGGCAGTCATCAAAGTCTTGAGAAGCGCCGAACTTTTTCAACAACAAGAGTAAGTGCGCATCTTCAATCGGCAACTTCCGGACGATTGGCTGGCCGTCAGTCCGCTCTGCTCCACGCAACGTGTTAACTACCATTGGGTGCTTGCGGGCCTCTCGAACCAAAGGATAACAAGGCTCCAAGTGGTGAGCAAGGCCTGACAGGTAAGAGGTAATCGTGCAGATTGAAATCAGTTTACCTGATGGCCCTGTCTGCTTCGCCATAAAAGAGATAAACAAACTAAGCATATTAGGAGTTGGCTCGGGGTTGTAATGATGGATTTGGCAGAAGGTAAGATACGAATTAATCCCTGATTGATAGGCAGATTTTGTTGACTTGTCAAGAGCGTTAGACAAATAAATCGCTCGCTGTCGATGCAAACGATCCAATGTCCAAGGGGCACGTTTGGGCTGACGTGCCTTGGCGCTTACTGAAACATTCATTCCCGTATCACCCCCAACCTATCCCGTGGAGGCCTGAAGGAGGAAATTTTCAGCCCTGGACAGTGAATAAGGGCCGAGTCGAAAAGGTGACGCGACAACGCATCTGCGACGGTATTTTCGGAGCCAGGGATATGAATAACTCGAACATCAATGTCGAAATCCATCATTGTTTCGACCACATGGAGGAGGAGTAGAACATAATTTGGTTCAGCGGCTAGTGAATGGAAGATATCGACCATGTTCATCGAATCAGTTCGAAGTAAAATGCGACGAGGTCTATCTGGTAACTGCGCAGCCCAATCAATTGCCGAGACAACTGCCAACGCTTCATTGAAAAGCGTGTCTCCAAAACGTAAGCTAGACTCCGAAATCGTTGCCACCATTGCAATCCTGATGTCCGGAGACCAGAAAGCCAATCCTACATTAGACGCATCTGTCAAAAAGGTCAAGTCTGCTTCGTGCTCCTTCCAAGTCC